TGCAAACGAACCGAGTGGATCTCGAGTGCTCGAGTCAGAGCTCGACTCGAGCTAAAGTTTGAACGAACTCCAGCGGCTCAAGCACGTTAGTGAGTCAATCTCGAGCATAAATTTTGGAAAGTCAAGCGACTAGAGATATACAGTAAATTATTAAATTATCCTTTAAATATAAATATTACAATTCATTATATATATACTTAATGATAATTTTACTTGAAATTCGAGTCGAAGTCGAACAATTTGTCGAGCATTTTTATTTTAATCGATCTCGAGCCATTGTCTTCTTTTGTCGAGTTGATTTCGAGCGTCATAAATCGAGCTCGAGCTAAAAGCAGGTAAAAAAAAAAAAAAATTATCGAGCTAAATGCAAACAATATATTATACACTAAAATAACTGAACCTCGATTTTATTATCTTAAATACAGTCAATTATAGACAAACAATATATTTTTGTACGCTAAAATAAGTTAAATAAATGAATCAAACCGTAGAGATTGCTATAATAATATTTTGCTTGTACCTTTTATACCTCAAAATCCACGCACAGACCTCATTTTCCAAGCAAAGAATAAAATAAATAAACAATGGTTGGACCGATAGACTAAAATTTCCATTTCCATTTTTTCTTTATTTTTTCCCCCTTTTTTCATCGTGTCGCTTTAAGCACACACCCACGTCTGTTCATGGCTTCACCTTCACCACCTCCAACAATCCCCAATCGCCTCCCCATAAATACTCAGCTCAGCCCACGATTCGATCACAGAGGAGTTTGCCGCGCCGAGAATGCCGGCCGCCTGTTTGTAAAAAGTCTGGCGAGAAGAAGGCAAAGGAAACGGAAAAAATGAGGCTGTACGTTTGCTTGCTGGAGGGGAGAGACTTACCGGCGAAGGATTTTTGTTACGTGAAGCTGCAGGTCGGAAAGTGTAAGTCGAGGAGCAGGGTTTTGAGGAGCGGGGAGAAGTTGATTTGGAACGAGGAGTTCTTCTTCAGGGTGCACGATTTGGAGGACGAGCTCGTGGTGTCCGTGTGCAGGCACGACGGCGATCGCGAGCAGCACGGGATTTTCGGTGCCTCCTCCGGGGACTGCGTGGGTCGGGTCAGAGTTCCGATTTGGTCCGTTGTGGCGGAGGAGAATCATAATCTGCCCCCGACTTGGTTTTCAGTTGAGAGGCCTAAGAGTGCGAAATCAATCAACAGGGACTGTGGTAAGCTCTTTCTCTGTCTCTCTCGCTCTTTGCGTATCATGCACACAACCACACATTGAGCTATTTGTTTGGGTTTCATGAAGAGTATTGAATGGTTAATTTTGTGTGGATTTGGATATTTACTATGTTATGTGGTTCTCGTTGATTTTTTTTTGGTGCTTGGTTGGTATTATGGTTCTTTAGTTACTGCAAATTGTATTAGTCTACTTAGCTTCTTTTGGATTCGGGTGATAGAACGCTTCTCGTTTTGTTTTGACTAGTCTGCTTAAAACGATTATTGGGTGGATTGATGATATCTCAAGTGAGTGGAGAGAAACAATTGTATGTTTATATGAGAAGGGTGTTCTTAATTGGAAGTGTATGGCGTTCACTAATATGAACTCCAACTGCCTTGTTTACAGCTTAGCTATAGATTTCAAAACAGGTTCACTAAGGTCTTATGTTACTAATATATTTGTTCTTGAAATATTCTCAGTATATAACCATATACTGAGAATGTAGGGAAATATTCTAGTCATGGAATACGACTTATGGAACTTTTATGCTGCCAATGTAGGGAAACTTCTTCTTGCTCTATCCCTGCATGGAAAAGATTACACTTCAGCTGAAGCTAGTCCTTCGTTGTATTCAGAAGGTAAAGTCGGTCCGTCTCATGATACCCAAGTTCATGCACCTGATTCCACATCCAAAAAGACACTTGATGGGAAACACTTGATGAAGGCACTCGCTGGCCGTATGGAAAAATTCCTAAACAAAAAGGATGAAACATCCCGTAATGAAAGTCCATCAGAGTTATCTACTCCATCCGATTACGAAGATTGCCAAATGGAGCTACCCAGCACCTCCAGTTTCCAGGAATTGATGGAGCTCTTGCAATCCAAGAATGAAAATGTACAAGTGCCTGATAATCTCCAAGGTGGCATCCTAATCGACCAGACATATGAAGTTTCACCAAAGGATCTAAATATGGTTATATTTGCTCCCAATTCCGAGTTCAAGATGAATTTAGCTGACTTGCAAGGGATGACTGAATTGCAAGAAAGCCCTTGGAAATGGGAATCGGAAGGTTTGAGAAGAGTTGTTACATATATAAAAGCAGCAACCAAATTAGTGAAGGCTGTTAGAGCCACCGAGGAGCAAACATATGTTAAGGCAAACGGTAATGAATTTGTCGTTCTTGTTAGCGTGAGCACACCAGATGTCCCGTACGGAAACACTTTTAAAGTTCAATTGCTTTATAAGATAATGCCAGGTGTTATGTTATCATCCGAAAACCAGTTTGCTCGTCTTGTCGTGTCATTTTCTGTCAACTTTAGTCAAAGCACGATGATGAAAGGGGTGATCGAGAGTGGAGCCAAGCAGGGACTGAAAGAAAGTTTCGATCAATTCTCAGGCTTGTTGTCTCAAAAGTTCAAAGTTGTCAAAGCTAGTTCGGACAAAGAACAGGTGTTGGCGACTATGGAGACCGAGCAAGAATCCGATTCGGAACTAGCTGTGCATTATTTCTGGAATTTCACAGTGCTCTCGACCATTTGTATGTTGTTATATGTCGCCATTCACATATTTCTACATAAATCTAACAAGCTGCAAGGGTTGGAATTTCAAGGACTTGATTTACCCGACAGTTTTGGAGAAGTCATCACATGTGGCATATTGGTTCTTCAGTTGGAACGCGTATATTTCATGGTTTCACACTTTGTGGAGGCTCGATTACGAAGAGGTAATAACCATTTTGTTGGGTTTGTGTAAAGATTTTGGACTGTAATTTTGTGTTTTTTGCAAGTTTTTGCAATGTATTATGGTGTCTTAGTCTGTTAGATTTGTTACAATGTTGTGACAGGAAGTGATCATGGGGTCAAAGCACAAGGTGATGGATGGGTGCTTACTGTAGCTTTGATTGAGGGGACAAATTTAGCTTTGACGAATTCAACTGAAATCCCGGATCCTTATGTTGTGTTTACTTGCAATGGCAAGACAAGAACTAGCTCGGTCAAGCTCCAAACTCTTGATCCTCAATGGAATGGTACTTTTTCGTTTTCTTTGTTTGTTTATTTATTTTTAGTGGATCCGATTGTAGTGTCTTGATTTCTGCAACCACTTAAAAATAGTGATTGTCAGGTTTTGACTGGAAAACAAAGAATACAAAGAAAGAATTTTCTTATTCAGGTGCAAACTTACTGCTTCTGATGCTTCTAACCTTCTAAGGCATGCATACGAAGCATTACAAAATAATGGAGTTTGATGTCTGTGATGGATGCATTACAAAAACTTTAGCCACCAAACCCTCTCTTTCGTCGAGATTCTATTTGCAAACACCATCAACATCTGATTTTCAACTACTTTTTGTTTCTGCTAAAAGCAGAACTTTATCCAAACACTCCCAATATTGGGTAAGATTTTCATTTCCGCAAATTATACAGAGATACTCGAGTTTGATGCTGTTGATGAGCCTCCTTCTGTATTGGATGTGGAGGTCTTTGACTTTGATGGACCCTTTGACCAAGTTTCTTCCCTTGGGCATGCGGAGATCAATTTTCTGAAGCACACTGCTTCAGAACTTGCCGATCTGTGGGTCTCTCTGGATGGTAAACTTGCTCAGTCCTCTCAGTCGAAACTGCACTTGAGAATTTTCCTGGACAATAATAATGGAGTGGAAACAATTAGAGATTATCTGGCGAATTTGGAGAAGGAGGTTGGAAAGAAGGTAAAAAAGCCCTGCCTTGTAGTAATTTAACCAGTCGTAATTAGTGATATTCATTTTTTTTTTTTAAATTATCATTGACAATTTTGTTTTTAATTTTTCGTGCAGTTGAACCTACGCTCACCTCACAGGAATTCAGCTTTCCAAAAATATTTTGGATTGCCTCCTGAAGAATTTCTCATTAGTGATTTCTCATGCTCGTTGAAAAGAAAGATGCCATTGCAGGTTGCTATATCGACATAAAGAATTTTGTTAAACATTTCAGTTTTGTATTTGCTTTTCTTATTATATTTGATACAGTTTGCTTATGAATGAATTTAATTTCTGCAGGGTCGCCTTTTCCTTTCTGCTCGAATAGTTGGATTCTACGCGAACTTGTTTGGACACAAAACTAGATTTTATTTCCTGTGGGAAGACATTGAAGATATTCAGGTGCATCCACCTTCCCTATCAACAGTTGGAAGTCCATCAGTCTTGATAATTTTGCACAAGGGTCGAGGCCTCGATGCCAGACATGGAGCCAAGATTTTAGACGAACATGGCCGATTGCATTTTCACTTTCATTCTTTTGTTTCCTTCAATGATGCTAGCAGGTATTTTTACTTGGAATTAGGGTGATTTGTACTTTTACTTTGTATAGTACTTTTCAAAAACGGGTCAAAATTACTATGAGAGTTAACATTAGCTTTTATTTTTAACATAGTTATGTTAAATTTCAGGCGTAGTCTATTGTAATTTGTCCCTGATAATTATTCCTGGCAATTATGTGGCGATTACATGCTCTGGAATGTAAATGATCATTTTGCGCAACTTTTCGATTTATCTGTGATAATAGGACAATTATGGCCTTGTGGAGAACAAGAACAATAGAAGCAGATCAGAAGGCTGAATTTGCAGACGAGCAGGTGGACGAGGAGAAGCCTTTTCTAATTGAAGACACTGGATCGTATCTGGTTGTTGACGATGCAAAGTTGACCAATGTTTATACAGTCGAGCTGCCTCTGAATGTAAGTTGTAACTTACTCCTTTGTATTTTCAGTTCAAACATCTTTTCTTTTGTTAAACTTCATATTGAATCGAGATTCAATATTCAATTAATACATGCATCTATATTTATATGGTTTAATTCCACAGCCCAAATCATTGATGAAGATGTTTGATGGAGGAGAGTTGGAACACAAAGTGATGAGCAAATCTGGCTGTCTTAACTATGTGACAACTACTTGGGACAATGTGACGTCTGACATACAAGAAAGACACGTTTCTTACAAGTTTAACCGGCGAATCTCGATCTTCGGAGGTGATGTTACATGCACACAGCAAAAATCACCTTTACCGAATAACAGTGGATGGGTTATAAATGAGATTATGACCCTTCACAATGTCCCGTTTGGCGATCACTTCCGAGTAAGTTGGTATTTCTGAAATGAGTGATAATATTTCTATGAAGAATGGAAATATATATATGAGATATGGAAAACCCTTAAGCTGCATTGAATAATTTTCTCTTTGCATAAGCAGGTTCAGTTCAGATACCAAATCGAAAAATCGACATTTGCGCACAATTCATGCAAGTTTGATGTCCATATTGGGGTGATGTGGCTGAGGAGTACTAAGTTTGAGTCCAGAATCACAAAGAACATTATCGGGAAGTTTACGAATCGGTTAGAGGAAATACTGCAGCTGGTGGAAAGGGAGATTCTGCTAACAAGCCAATGAAGTATATATGTCATGTGACATTTACATTTAGCAAATAGGGTTTAACTATGTGTTTACTAATCCTGATATATAATCATATAGCCTCATTTGTCAATGCATCACTACATATAAAGGGATGATTATAGCTGAGCTGATGTACACTGTTAATAGTTACTATTTAGTTTTGTATGCTTTACACAGAAGGCAATAATACTATTGTTTAAAAGTGCTATGAAGTTTTTTTGAGTAACACTAAAATATAATAAACTAGTATGAATCCCGTGCGATGCACGGGTAAGAGATATTCTTTAGTCTTTATATTAAAAATGTTTATAAAATAATATTTATAAATAAAATATATGGAATCAATATGTAAATAATTTACCTATATTAATTTATTGAAAATATTATATTAAATCTTAATTGTGTAAAATTACATAAAACATGTCTACTTAAAATTAATACAAAAATCTTACAGGTCACATAACTGATAATAAATTACATTGTATTCATTTCAAAATAAGTGTCATTTTTAAAAGTTTTATTCAAAAAATCGATTTGACTACAGTGTGATTTCATAGAACAATTATTTTGGTAAAATTTTGTCATATATTTGAAAATCTATTTGAATAATAAGTATAGTCATAAAACTTATATTGTTTCATTAATTAAAATGAGTGTGTTTTTGCATAAACTATCCATATCAAAAAATTAAAGTAGTCGAGTAATTTAATAAATTATTAATATTGTCTAGTTCACGTACGTCCAAGTTAATATTGACCCGTAAGTTGTGAATAATTTATTATTTTACTTTTTGTAGTGTTGTTGTCTTTGTTATTAGCAGTTTCTGTTGCTGTCTATTATTGTGTTTGGTTGTGCTGTTATTGGTAAGTTTTGTTTGGAGATTGTTAAAGGGCTAGACATTGGTGCAGTGGTCTTTTTACCTCTCTTCAGGGTCTTTGAGGTTTCTCTATAGGCCACCTTCTAGGTGTGTCCTCCCAGTTGTTTTATTTTCTAGTTTAGGGATATTGGACCTATTTGTCCCGTTGTATTCGAACGTTTGTTCCCTTGGTTTTATTGAATACTACATTTATCGTTCCGGAAAAAAAAAAAGAAAAAACAAAAAAAACTCATACATATGTCAAAAATTGTATACATATTATTTCTCAATTTTCTAGATTTGTTGTCGGTAAACTTATTGTTTATATTTATCAACTAATTTTTTAGAATTAAATTACAAATTTTAAATTTTATTAACCAATATTAATTCAAATATTTTTTTTGATTTTTAAGAGGAATGCATATCAATTGTCGTATTATTATTTATATCTTATGGCAAGTTATTATGGAAATATGCTAAAATTTGAGAATAATATCATCTTGATTTTATAAGAAACCAACATAAAATTCAACTTTCATACACATACCAAAATAAAATTCAAATATATCATTTTTTTTATTCAAAATTATTAAATACACATCTATCAATACGAAATAATATTCATACCAATAATTCAGACATTTCATAAATACAAAAATCAAATCGTCCACTTTATATCATAAATTCGGTCATTTATTAATTACGACTTATTTTCTACATAAGATAGAAATGGTGATCCTATACTTCAAATAATATCGCATATACCAAAAACATATTTTATAATCATACTAAATTTGGACTACACATAAATTCCCTTATATATTTCAAAATTCATATATATATATATATATATTATTTTGTAATTTCTATATTTGTTATCGTTTACCTTATTGTTCAAATTTATCAACCACTTCTCTATAATTAAAATGCAAATTTTAAATTTTTAACCAATATTAATTTAAAGGTCGTTCTGTTTTCAAGAGAAAGACATATAAATTTTTCGAATTATCATTAATATCTTATGACAAGTTATTAAAAAAATATGCTAACATTTGAGAATCATATCACCTTGATTTAATAAGAAATCAACCAAAAATTCGAGTTTCATACACATACTAAAATAAAATTCATAACATTTTTTTATTCAAGATTTACAAATAGACTTCTATTCGTACCAAATAAAATTTATACCATTTAAATTAAAATATTTTATACCAAAATAAAATCTCTCACTTTATACCATAAATTCTGATATTTATTAATAACAACATATTTCCTACCCAAAATACAAATGGTCATCATATACTTCAAATAAAATCGCCCACTTTATACTAAAATTGAATTTGTTAGTGTTGTCAACTTTACACCATAAATTGATTGACTAAATTCTAGAGGCGGATTTTGTTTTTAAAATTTTCAAAAACCCTCTCTAAGTTTACTAATTTTAAAAATTTTAGGCAGAATTATAATTTATAATTCAGATAAATACACATCCTTATATATATGCGTGTGTGTATATATATATAATGAATAATTTCAAACTATTTAGTATTTAGCCAATATTGAAGGAACCTTTAAGCAGTTTTATCAAATAAATAATTCAAGTAATATTTATGCTATACACCTAATAACTTTTTTTTTTTAATTATTATTAACAATTCTCTTATCACCTTTATACGTTGTATAAAACATACTAATTATAATATATAATAAATCATTTCAATTGTGTTTGAGCACATACAATTTTCTTACTTATTTACAATCAAATGAGTTCCATTGCTAGTTTTGCTTCACTATGATTACTTCCTAGTACATATGATGATGTTACAATTAACTGATCATATATATTACGATTAATTGCAAAGACTATATTTGTTGTAGTTAACATAGTGTAATTTATGTCTATTATTTGAACTGAATATAATTTTAATCCATCGTGTATATTTTGAATAAATTTTAATTTCAACCGATTTTAATTTAAATTAGTCAAGGTGATATTTTTATAACCATTAATTATGAAAAAATACAAAAGATTTTGTATGAATAGGTGCCCATAATATGTTTACATAAAACACAAATATGCTATATGAATGCTTAGCTTATGCTTCAATCTTTTAATTTAAAATATAAAGATTATCTTTATTACTAAATACCCTAAATGGAAAAATTATCATGATTGCAATCTATAATTCTAATATATGGAATGTTGTGGTGAATCATCTAATTAGGGAATATATTTTTAATATTGAAAATCATGATCAAATTTGTTCACATACTTAATGAAATTTACCATACAATAAATTTAAAACAATTCTAAAATTCGAAATTAATGAATCAATAGCGGGATTTTTCAAAAATTCTGAAAAAAATTACCAAGATTAGTAAGTTTTAAAATTTTAGGCGGGATTTTAGTTACTTTTTCAGGTAAATGTCAAACCTTTTTATATTTATATAGATGTAATGTAGAAACATTAACCTAATAGAAAAAGAAAAGTCTTGATAAAATAAAGTAAATTTAGGTATTTGTTCCCAGGGAAGCTAATCATATGTCTGTGTAACAGGTTAGACAGATTGCACCACTAATATATTGCTGGAACAAATGTATACCTCTTCTAACAAATGATATACTAATTGAAACTGATAAAATAATTATTATGTCTTTTTTTTTGTTTTATAATTTGAATGATCAAATAATTTGGCTCGTGAAAACTCGAGCTCGGCTTATGTTTTTACATAAACGAGTTGTGCCCAAATAGCTAATCGATCTGATATATTAAACAAGTAAACAACTCGTGCATTGTGATTTTTTTTTTTTTTATTTCTATTTTTAAGGGTTTTAAAAGAAGTAACAAAGCTCAACTACTTTGTAAATGGACATTTTATTTTCACAAATAACTCGGTTAAATTCTAAATTTTTTTAAACTAGTTGGGTTTTACTCTGGTGAACACTCCAAGTGGCTAGAAACGGCTCGCTCGAACTCCTCATCACTAGTAGAATGCCGAGTACCTGCAAAAATTCTTACACCGGAAGGGTTTTCCGGTGACAAGCTTCCAATGCTTAAGTAAGTATAAACTCTACTCAATTCTCAAAAGTATAATGGAATAATCGTG